TTTCCTAAAAAAAAAAAAAAAAGATCAGTTATATAATGAAGAAGACTCTTATAATGACATATGCCTATATTTGTTCCCCAGTTTGAGAATATGTGGTTCACATTTGTTCTACTTCAACTTCTGCCTCAATTCGCCCTCTGTGCTCGTTGTCCCAATCGGTGCATTTGTGACATTAGGGGTTCTGCAAAATGCACTGGGGACATCACCGACATTCCTCCTCTCGACCCAACAACAACCTTCCTACTCTTGCTAAATGACACAAACATAAAGATCCTCAAAGACCGAAGTTTCCAGCCGTTCTCTCTTCTGCTACGACTAATGATCACGCACAGCACTCTAGACACCATCCAACCAGAAGCCTTCCATGGTGCTCCACAGCTTCGGTCCATCAAGCTCTCATCAACCACACTCTCTGTCTTCCCACCCAAGGTGTTTAGTGAGCAGAGCAACTTGGAGCAACTGCAGCTAGATGGGAACCAAATAGCTTCCGTTAGTTCAGAACTCTTTGAGGCGATGGTCAACCTGACTGAACTAAATCTGAGCAAGAACCGCATCTCCCAGCTGGATGCTGACGTCTTCCAGGGTTTGACCAAGCTGAATTACTTAAACTTAGCTGATAACCAACTGAGGAACCTCCCGAAGACCCTCTTCCACAACCTTTTGCAACTCAAATCTTTGGTGCTGTCATCCAACCAGTTGGAGACTCTTGAAAGTGGTTCCTTTGACCATCTAAGCAACCTGTTGGTGCTAATGCTACAGAAGAACCAGATCCGAGAGATTCCTCCACGTCTTTTCTGGCCCTTGCCATCCCTGCTCACCCTCTCAATGTCTGCCAACCAACTCCGGTATATTCCAGCCGAGACCTTCTACTACTTGCCCAACCTGACCAAGCTCACCCTCTACAAGAACCCCTTCATATCCCTTCCTTACCAGCTGATGGGACACATGCCGAGACTCCAAGAGCTGTACCTTTACGAAACCAATCTATCCACTGTCCCATGGAACCTTTTTGCAAACATGACCAATCTACTGGCTCTCAATTTACACTTGAACAACAAGTTGACCTCCCTCCCAAAGAACCTCTTCTGTTGTCTGCCCAAGCTGAAGAAACTGTCCCTGAAGAACAACAACCTTCAGGAACTAGACCCGGAGCTCTTCTCAAACTTGATCAACCTTCAAATTCTGATTCTTAACAAGAACAAGCTTGAGTCTCTCCCATCGGCTATCTTTCACAACACCTCAAGACTAGAAATACTAGACCTGAAACACAACCATCTGAGGTATCTCCCCGGAGATGTTTTCGTACACGCAATGGCGCTAAAAGATCTCTCTCTTAGCGGCAACAAATGGAATTGCGATTGTAGCATTATGGGTATTGCAGAATGGATTCGTGAAAACCCAAAACAAATCAATGACTTGGACAAAGGAGTAACATGCTATGAACCATACCGCTTAGAAAACTATCCGCTGCAAACGCTGACTTACGAGGAACTCCATTGTGGTGTTTTCCAGACCACATTTATGGCTACAAGTGCCATTACCACTGGGGCTCCAGCGACACCAACCCTGCAAACATCTACATCTACAAGCACAACAGCAAGAAATACTGCAAATGCAACTACAACTCCAACTACTTTTCCAACAGATGCCTCTCTACTTTCTCCTACACCTGATCATATTTACATGAAACAAGGCAATGGTAACAACAATGATCCGGCGTTCTACGATACAATTGTGCTGGATAACGGACCTGAAATTGTGCACAACAATCATTACAATGGCTGGGTGTACCTGTGGACTGTCCCGTCAACGGGTCCCTACAGTGGATTTATGATGGCTTTGTACATTGTTCTCTTGGTCAGTGGTGTAGTCCTGATTGTGGCCAGCTTGTATGCTTTGTATCGGCTTCATAAGGTGATTTTGCGTTTAGGAAAAGTCACTATGGGAGAAAAATCAGAGAATAGTGGCTAGAAGAGTGTGAAGCTTCAAAGTCAAACTCTAGAGAAATCTTAAAAACCTCTTCGGTTATTCTCTAGCGAATTGCTATGTGTTTTCACATTATAGTGCACATTGTAATTTGTCTAATTGAACTCTATACATATTTATGAGGACTATAAAATCCTGAGACCACTAATCAAAAGCGTCTGTCTTGCATTTTTCTCATTTTATGCAACAAATTTAATTACAAATGATGTTCAGCACAACTTATGTGACAAGTTTCAGAATGTATATAATTGTTTTTGTAAGCATTCATTTATACAGCCTTTTACAATGAATCTTTTGTTTCTTTTCTCAGTACACAAATTTTCCTTTCTGCAGTTTCCACATTCCAGTGCTTTGCATTCACAAAACTGATAAAGACACACCCTTGGTGGTTGTTTGCAAAGTGTAAGACCAAATAAAATGTTTCTGTTCTTTGAGAGTGGTTTCTTTGCCATGTGTACGGTGGCCGAGAAGTGCTAAACAAATCACAATTCTGAAATCAAAATAACAAATTACAAACGCAAATGCAAGTCTAAAGAACAAAATAAAAATTCAGAAAGCACAACAACAATTCAGAAAACATTATATTCAGTCACCGTACATGTGTGCCACCTGGTGGTTAGACAATATAGAGCAGAATTTATAGGGCAGAATATTCATATGTTAACATATTTACAATATACCACCATACTTATTTTCTCAAGCAAATTATTATTTTATTTTAGTTATAATTATTATATTTATTGTATTTATTATAACTTATGTATTATATTATACTATTTTTTTATTATATAATATATATTTAAATTATATTAAAATTATTGTTAGATTAGGATACTCAAACTGCAGATCATTAGACAATATGCACAATGTCAACCTTAAAATTATAAAAAAGTTTTTATTTTAGATCAGTATAGACAGCCTATTATAATTATTAGGCTATTAGGGAAAGCATGAAGTGTGTATTTTCGGATGTTAAAATACTAAGTGTAAAAACTATTGTTGCGATTCTTTTTAGTGTCACTAGAGGCACAACAATCACACGTTTCACTTTTATGTAGGCTATGAGACCAAACCACCCAATGAAGAGATGTGGCTAAACTCACGTTTGAAACCAAAGTGTAAGAAAGGGCCCACACAGGGCTCAGGTGCAGGACAAAAAAAAAAGTCAAACTATAACAAAAATACAAACGTATTGTTCGCACACTGATGTAACTGCTCCATAAAAATAATGTATCGCGGCAACGTTTCGACCATCAGGTCTTCGTCAGGCACAAATTACGTGAACTGGTACAACTCTTTATAAGTAACAGGTGATCATTCTACAAAGGGAATGTTTTTGGATTTATACTCTAAATACGTTGTCACCTTTTGGGTTGAATGAAGATTTTGATATTAAGCCTTTTCTATAGGATTGTGTGTATTTTTTCATCTGTCTTCAGTAGTGTTTGAATATTTTGAGTGATTATTGATCTGTATTGATTTGTTAGTTTATTCGAGTTTAAGATTTGTATTTGACCTGTATTGATTTGTGTATTTATTCGAGTTTAATGCGGGCTTTCTCTCTCTCTCTCTTCTTGTGGGAGTGTACCTGCACAGTGATTGAATGTGTCTAATTAGAATGATCACCTGTTACTTATAAAGAGTTGTACCAGTTCACGTAATTTGTGCCTGATGAAGACCTGATGGTCGAAACGTTGCCGCAACTAATTAATTTTATGGAGCAGTTACATCCAACATTATGAAGCTGCAGGCCCGGAGGCCCAACTGCACACTCAGACTTGCACGCTCAGACCTATCGTTTTTTCAGACAGGTGAAACTCATGCATCTAGCAAGAACTTAATACACAAAATAGTCATATTGATTCACGCATTTAACATTTATGAATGAATTAAATGTCAGTAGCCTAATGAACAATACTGTACACATTATAGCGATCACGAGGTCCTATTCTATCACAAACACGCGTACAGTAAAGTGGATAGCCTAGGCTACATTCCCATCAGTTATATTCAGGTCAATAGTGCCACCTGTTGGCGCAGTTTTGTAACTTAGAGAACAACTTTTGTTATGTCGAGATCACGAGAAAATGAAAATATTTAAGTAACTGAACAATTTCTATTTACAAATAAAATTAATAAAAATAAACCAGACTTAATGCATTAAATCATAACCTAGTATGTGTAATATTTTATATAATAATGCATTCAGTCATAGCGTAATATTTTATAGTAGAAAAATAGTGTAAGTTGCAATCTATCAGCAATTGAATTCAGGTTAGGTAATCTTATCTAATCAGGTTAGATAATCTTCCAAACAGCAGGTGGCACTGTCTGAAAAAACAATAGTTCTCGGAGTGCTGGTCTGAGCATGCAGGTCTGAGTGTGCAGTTGGGCCTCCGGGCCTGCAGATAATCTTCCAAACAGCAGGTGGCACTGTCTGAAAAAAACGATAGATCTGAGCGTGCAGGTCTGAGTGTGCAGTTGGGCCCCCGGGCCTGCAGCTTCACCCTACTCGTTACATCAGTGTGCGGACAATACGTTTGTATTTATACTCGATTTGCACATTACGATTTCACCATAGTTTAGCTTATACAGCAAACATGTACCAAGCACTTTTATCAAATTCTTACCACTCCCACATGACTAACAATACGCCTCAATGAACGAGCCCAACACTGATGTTTGGTATGACTCCAAAACTCAAAGAAAGTGTTCACTGATAGGGTGTATGCTAGTCTGTGGGCGCGGTCCATCCACCAATGAAGCGTGAACTCCTGAAGATCTCTATTACAACTTTAACAGGGGCCCGTTCTTCGTACATCGCTTATTACATCCGAGATCAAATGACATATTCAAGATGATATCATCGCGCTAATTTTATGATTCAAAGACAAACACATTAACAACCCATTTTCGCCACCTATTGGCATAACAATGTAATTGATAAATCTTCATTTGAAGTGTCAAATATCTTTCAAAATGATATTTACTCTATTTTAATCACTACCGTACACATCAGAGTTTATATCTGAACTATAAACTTTTATCCCAGTACTTCTGTGATTTGAATGTTTGTAACAGAAATAATGATACTGTGTGGCTGAAAAGACTGTGAAGCTGTTTCATTCATGACAGACAGCTCTTTGTCATGTTGGTGGTGACACCTCTCTTGCAACATGTTTAGCTATCACAGATATTATACTTAGCGTTTTTGGCTTCTGATCACAAATGTAGTCAAACTTTGGACTTCAGTTTGGAGCACTTAGATTAGCGAGCAAGGTCCTGGCAGATCGCTATAGGTTCGGTCCTCACAGAAGAAAAAAACCCCGCATAGGAATCGATAGGCGGAATCGAAATTTTAATTTGACAAGTACAACAAGATTCCTGACCTTAAGTATCCGATTTTCGATTCATAACCCTATTCACGTGTTTGAAACATGAAGACTCTTGTACATTAACTACTGGAAAATTGAAACAGGTGTCAAATTTAAATTTCCATAAAAAATATGCAGCAGTTTCACGTTAATCTAAAAAAAAAAGCTCAACCATTGAGCTTCGGGCGACTCGAGTTCGAGTCCCAGTGTTGTGCCGAATTCTGACCCCCACCAGATTATTAGGCCTACCCCCCTAGTATTGGTAGGTTTAGGGTTAGGTGTGGGGGAGGGGTTAGGATTAGGCAATCAGGTAGCGATTTCAACGAGGGGGGTAATAATTTGGCAGGGAGTCGAAAATGGGCACAACACCGGCTCGTAGACCTTCTGGATCCCGTTCAACTTACTCAAAAAAATATACCGGTAGTTTAAAAACTGAGAAATGTACTTTGTCCGTCTCACACACCTCATTCAAGGCCTAAATGTTATTATACATAATCTTCAACTGTCGTGCTGTCATAGCAACAGGAAAACTATCGTAATATTATACGCATCTAATTCTAGAATAAACTTGAAAACCCGAGTCATGGAGAACAGATGAAAGACTTTGTTATGTCAATGGCATCCAGAGATTTGTGTGAACATGTTCAGGTATGATAACATCCCACTCGACCCTACCGTAGGCTATATACAGCCGTAAGATTGGAAAAGTCTGTCACAAACATGAAACATAGCGGATCATTCTGAATAAATATTTGCCGCCACCCCACGATGCTTAAAATGCTTTTCTCAAAGATTCGGATCTACGAGTTCAAGGACCTCATTCGGAAAACAAGAAACAACCGAAAACGTAAATGAATTTCACTCGTCTCTCTGCATACAAACTTCTTGAATTGACCGAAAGATGGATATTTATTGAAGTGTTTATTTTAATTTCATAGACTGGATGTTCTGTTGAGCAGGAAAAAACAGAAAAACAATATCCGATGTGTTTTGATTAAGAAAAATACTGAAGACTCTCATTAGCAGTAAGTTTTTTAATTGTTATATACATGTGTAGAACAATTTCAACAATAATGAAATCATCAGTTTATGGGTAATTGATGCATTAGCAGTCAATTTTAAGGCCAGACTTTGGCCAGATAAATTGTTTTTGCCTTTACTAGTTAATTCCTTCAGAGTGACAAAAGACAAAGTTCAAACATAAATGTCCATGTAGTCTTCATAAAATAATTAGAAAAAGATAGGTAAAATTACTCAAATATAAATATTTTTAAATATTATAGCATGTCGCACACACACATCATTTAATTTAAAACCATCAAAAGTATTTTAAAGTATTTTATATGACTATGGATGGTGGAAATATTGTATTTTAATGCTATTGTTTTTCTAATTTCCTCTTTTTTTCTTAAGACTACAAGACCATGGGCCAAAGTTATCTGATCTGCTAGAAAACAGAGGTTGTTTCAACCACCAGTCACCTTTATATAATTTATGTGTTAAATTTTAGTATATAAAAACTTTATTCTTTTGCGAACAGACTACCTGGACGCCTTTCGTTCATTTCTCCAGTCTGAGTTTAGTGCGGAGAACATTGCATTTTGGCTTGCC